CGCCGTTGTTGCTGCTGCTGCTCCGCGTCAAAATCGCGGACGAAAATAGTCAGAACGGACAGCAGTACACTAAATACATCCAGCGTGATCAGATTGAGGGATTTTGAGGGATTTTGAGGGAAAATAGCGGACTATACTGTTATGGTAGTGGGGGAGGTACAGTAATGACGTCACAACTGTAACGTTGCGCTTGGTTACGACACTTGGCTGGGCTTGGAATCGGTCTGGTGATAGGTTATGTTATGGTTGTCATTATTTTACTTATTTATTTTCCCCCACTATCAAGATAGTACTATACGCCATTTTCCCTCGTCGAGGGATTTTGCTGGCCATTCTGCATACATCTCTCGCGTCGCAACAGTACGTAACCGTCGTCGTGAAACGCGTGCTCTTGGGAATAATAGAAATAGCTCGAGGAATAACGGAGATCAAACGTAAGGTCAAGCATCAGACGCGTTTCGATCTCGTTATTCGCACGTTTGATCCGATCGATCGAATATATACACATATATATTGTCTTCAGAATTTATTGGCTTGTTACGATGTAATGAATCCAATTATCCAACGTGGAAAAATTCTAGTCTTATTTTGCTTTGTACTGTTTCGCGATTCGCGCGTTCTGATGATATACCCGAGTCAATTCCGTTTATCGATTCGTTCGTTTTATTGTCGATGAAATATAGCAGTCGTCGATATTTTGTTTCTACAACTAGACGGTTTCGATGATAGAAAATGAAGTGTATATCGATTGCTGAGCACGTTTGATTCTTGACACCGTGAATACTCGAGATCGTTCACTCCCCCCTACTCTTTTTCGTTTTCTCGATTCTCACGAATTTCGTCTGTCGACTCGGTGAACTCGACCTTCCCTGCCGGTGTCAAGTTGACGATCCAATTAGCGTTCTAATCTCGCGCGCTGACGCACGACGCGTCATGCGCTCTCGGGGTCTCGCTAAACGCTCCTTAAAGACTAGCAAGCATGCATCATCACGATGTATTTTATCACACCTACGTGCCATTCTGCCTCCTTACTCTTAATTAGTAACCATTTTTGTACGTTTCTTTTTCGTTTGTTTTGTTTTTGTGCAGCAAGGCACTAGGAACAGATCGGTAGTTTCCATCGGAGCTACGTCGACTGATCTGTCGTCGCTGTTTTTTTACTAAGTTTTTCCGCTTTCCACGCTCTGTTCTATAATCACAGCGATCGCTAATCGATTCTACGAAATTTGTAATTATTTTACTCGTGCGATTTTACTGAAAATTACGGGCATCCTTTTTTTTTCAGAGATTCAATTTTTGTACGTTAGGCGTACTAAGGAATAATCCACCATCCTTGACAAATTCTACGTCACTGATATTCAACATTTTATGTGAACTTTTCATTGAACAAAAGATCCAGAGGGTTATGGCTAATTTAAACTGTACTGTTATTTCCGTGAATAAACTGTGAATTATTCATTGGTATACCTAATAGCGTAGTTACAGCACGCGTTTGTATATATGCGAGTTACTTTAGTTCGATACAGCGAAAATAGCTTTACACGGGTAATTATTTGTAAATATTAGCTCAAGCCACAAATAACTTTGGTTTTACTTCTTTAAATTTATGTTTCTCCAAAACATTTTATAATGCACATTGTTATATTAAACTTGGTAATTGTCATCCCTATATGTTACATATTCATGGTAAATTTGTATCTGTAGAACACAACAAACTAAAAACTTAACTAAGATTTTTAGCTCGTTGATTGCCATGGTGGTCACTGACGACCGCTACTATTGAATTATTTGAAAGAATATTCAACATATGAAAAGTAAAACTCATAATTTTATAAATATTATTAGTTGTTAATGAATGTAAAAGTAAACAAATATAATGCCAATACAGTTCCCATAGTAAAACTTTGAACAGTCAACGTGTTAATAAAGGAAATCAATTTTTGTTCGACAACTTACAAATTATTGTTTAAAAATATAAATGTTTAAACAACCACAATCTAATCTATTCAGGCCACGTGCAATAGGACCTGAACGTCAACGATAGAAGTTATTCATGGCTCAACCGAATATTACCACCGAAATGGTTCTAAACAACAATTTCATTTCCTTAACTTCGTACTCGATCTTATCGGATAATACTACCATTAATAGAGAGATCTAATTTTTGGTGATCAACAGACGGTAGATCAACCGACGAGCGGCCGACGAAATCTCTTTATCTTACAAATCGTTCTCTTGTCGCGAGAAAAAAATAATAATAATAATAATATTGAACGAACGAACGCACGGTTAAAGCCGAAAAACGCGAACGGTCCCTGCTCGTCGGTAAAAACGACGCTTAAGTATAATTTACACATCTATATAACCGTACCACACGTGTACGTATAAGCATCTAGAAAATAAGAAAAAAAAAACAAGAAAAACCGTCCCGCAGTTGTGTGTTTATGCGTGTGTCCAGTGTGAAACTCGATTGAAAGAAAAAGCGTTGTTTTGTCGTTCGTGCGCACGGTCGTCGCAACCGCGAATAAATTAATAAAAAGTGTGAAGAAAAAGGGAGGGGCGATCCTATCCGCGCACCCTTAACACTCCGTCTCATCGATTCACGATCCTCGTGGATCCGGGTACTCCGAGCCACGTTATGTGCCGTTGACTTTGCTCGGTTAATCGCTCGAACGTATGGCGATGCACGACGAGAATCATTAATGCTCGCGATAGGTGCACTGTTTCCTGGGTCGAATCTGACCCTGAAACTCGAACTTCCGTAGAGAATATTCTCGACGTGCACTCGAATTCAATTGATATTTTTGAAGTCTAGAATGGGATTACGAAGCTTGTGCCGATATTCTTGAGTGTTTTCATGATAATGTCAATTTAATTTGAATATTACGATAATGTTGGCTATTTTGTTCCTCTAGTTCGATTTCTATTTTTAACTTGTAATTAATGCAGAATAAAAATAAAATATTTTATCATTTAACTAAGCAAAACGTTAAGTGTCCGCCACTAGGGGAACTCCTCCCTCCTAATGGTGCGGGGAGTTTCTGAAATTCGGGGTCAAAATGGACCCAGTAAACCGTCGTCCGAGGGTTAAAGTGTGTCAACACATTCCGCGCCGGTCACGTAAAATTACATGCTCGTCGGTTATTGCTTGATCGACCATCACGTAAAATCACGCTGTTTCTTACGTATGTTTCGTTAGGCACTGTTATTATTAGACTGCGGATTTGTCTGCAAAACGACAGTTTATGAAGTGATCCAGTCAGCCAAATTTTGTTTAATGTCTATTATAAAGTTATTTATCGGCTTGCGCAGACTCTGTTCCATTTTTGCCTCCAATTTGACACAGGTTATGTGGCAAGACTTGCTGCTAATTTGCTTGACCATTTTATCAGCAGGCTTTGCCTGCAAAACCCAAGTCAAATGCGGAAACAGATGGCTATGGTTTCATAGACAAAAGAAACTTGCATACAACTGGTTATCAGGGTCTAATTGAACTGTTCAATAATAGTTTCCTAGCCGTTGGTCGTTGGATCTACTAAACCTATTAAACAGCACAGTCGGTAGGTAATATGTTAAGTATCCGATTGAATTCCGAATGAAATAGAAAACTCGTTGCACTAATGAAAGTTTTGTCTTTTGTTGTACTTTACAGAGTCCTGTAGGTGATAAATGCATAAAATCCGTAGTCTAGTATTTAATTTCTGTAGATCTTTTGTCATGCTCCTGTCGTGTACCATAATATCTTCGGTCAAAATATCGTATCAAAATATGGACTATATTTCCAGCTGCGACAGAGCGTTTCGTAAAGAGAAATTGACAATAGCGGCGCGAAGTGTATCGACTGAATTGGTATTTACGAAATTATTGTCGAGTAATAGACGTTGCCATCGGATGCAATGTCGACTGTCACCCCAATCTAAACGATCCTCTCGTAATTTATTTGCTCTTGATTCAAATGTTTCCAGATTATCAATTGATGACACGCGACGTTGCACGCTGATTTTTCAAATCCGCTAGGATGCACGGCATTAATGATTCTTACCGTACACTTGGCGTATACGGCGTTGTACGGCGCGAGACGTCAGCAACGACGACTCTGACGTATAGATCGGCGAAGAGTCATCGTACTTTCTAGCGTTATACGTTACATCGTATTCTATTTACGACACGGATTTCGATTATACGAGTTGTGTTGGGGGAACGAAGCGGTGCTGTCGGGTTTACGTCGTACAGTTTCGCGAAAGGAGCTCGTGTACTTGTGCCTCGTATGAATTACATCGATTTTATGAGCGATTGACGGCTGAGACTAGGAAAACACAACGCAGAAATGGGCAAATGCATTATTTAGATGTTCATAAAAGTACTTTGCCATTTTTAATCGATTGAACGTGGAAATTCCAGTTTTTTCAACAAATAATATCTCGTTTTGAGTAAGTAGACAATTAAAAGATTTAAATCGTAAATAACTTCGTTTTCTAAAATGTATGTTCTTAAATGTAATTTCGTGACCTGAATGAAATATACGCGTCTGGAATGCGTCCAGTAATACGACTTCGTACGTTTCATCGAACATTATTTCATAGGAATTTACGTGATGCGAGAACAGTGTCTTTCCTGTTTGAAAAATATGGCCGCGATACGCAATTATTTTTAAACTGCTGAAGACACACTGGTGTCATCAGCATGTTATGCGATGGCGCGCTAACACACAGGTCATCTGACTCGTGTTTTATGCTGACTGAAGCGTTTTCGCGAATCGTGTGCCATCAGCACGCTGCAGTTTTTATGCGCTTATAGAACGTGCAAAATTGTTGAAATTGCGAAGCCTGTGCTTTATTTTTAACACTTCGTTTGCGACTGATGCAATTTTTTATTGGGCGGTAAAAGTTAACGTTTGTGGTGAGATATGGAATGAAACAGATTTAATTTGCTATGAAAGTTAACAAGACTAAAAGAATAACTACTTTCATAAATATCGGATTATAATTTCCTACTTTTGTTGAAAGAAAGTCTCGACTTTGGAGAACCTTTATGGGAGCTGATCTGACTGTTAATTGAGGTAATTCTTTCTTCTTTGATCCTGATTTCTGGAGAATCGTCATTAGACATAAAAGTCTGTATAAACATCTGCAGTATGGTCAACAAACTTGATATATATGAATTTCTTATAAAATTATATTTTGCAAGGCAAAACATTATGTTCCAGCAAATTCACGAAAATTGGCATGGAGTAAGCCGATATTCTTGTCTAGAAATGTGTTTTCATCTCAACAGTCTCCATCGAGTCAATATACTTTGTCACAAATAGACTGCAGACTTTACGCAAGTACAATGTATAAAATTGTGTCAAATACTATAAAATGATGATTCAATCTATTTTTCACCCTCTTTGACCCATTCAATACTCTCGGTAGAAAATACTGCTACACAAAAACTGTATAATTAATAAATATCGATTTCACATAGTCCTGTATGATTCTGTAGACTAAACTGTATATGTTTCTCTCGTTTCAAACATTTGCACACTAAGTGATTAAAAAAAGTATACATTACACAGTCTCTGAATAATTGCTTCGATTTTTACTTTTTGTCAGAAAGCGTGTACAGGGTGGTCCGTTTATTTCTTGCACATAAAATACGTCCGCTGCTTCTAGCGATACGACGAAGTGCCTTGTATGAAATTATGCAATTTATTGGTGTGCATATTACGATTAATAAAATAGTGTATGTAATTGTGTGTCCTAATTCACAAACAAAGATGGCGCGCCTTACAGCTTCTACATCGTACACAACCCTACAAACATCAGAGATATTCTATATTGGCAGATATAAACGGCCCACATTGTACACCACGGTTTCATTCTTCTCCCTTAAAAAGGGATCGTCTCAAAACATACCCGACCTGCATAAACATCCGCAGTTCAATCAGGAAGCAAACGTTGTCCAACAACTATTCAATACACGAGCTCCTTTCAGCGTGCAACGACAACAACTACCTCTGTCTACGATTGAAAAAAAAAAAGAAAGAAAGAAAGGAGTAGAAGATAAAAGGGTGTACAGGGTTAATGATAAACTGAAACGCCATAAGAGGCGGTGGCACATTCTACACGTGACGTCTTCGTCGTCCGGTACGGTCGTCGTGCTATATACCGTTATTGAAAGAGAAGCAGCGAGACGAAGCTAGAAGTTTCGGAGCTCGCGTGGCCGCGGTAACTCGTCCTGGACGCTTCAGCGGCGGCGGCTGTGTCGGCTGGCCCCACCGTCCATCCTAGGTGTCGTCCTTGTTCGCCCGACGAGAGGCAGCTCGCGACGAGCGCGGACGGTGTCGAGCACGCCGCCATCTATGGTACGCACTGAGCGATTATTCCGTCGCACCGCAGCTCCTTCGAACCCGGCGCTTCACTTCGATTCGAGGATCTCCTGGATGCTGACGTAGGTGCCGGTCAGGAAGCCGAGCACGCCGAACGCGATGATCGCCAAGTTCTTCCAGAGCTTCCAATAGAATGCGCCAAGACCGTTCTCCTGTTCCCAGACGGTGACCAGCTCGATTACCGACGGGAACATCAGACCGAGCGTGGAGAGACAAACGGCGCCCACCAGAGATATGAACGGGCCCAGGTTCGGGATCGCGATCGCCACGGCAACCGTGAAGATCACCAGACAGATACGGATCATGTACTCGCCGAGCAGTTTCCGCGAGCCGAAGTACTGTTTCAGATTCTTCCAGATGATCTCCATAGGTACGTAGAACTGCAGACCGTAAGTCAGAAAGATCGCGACAGCGATCATCAATTTGGCGGATTGGGCAAGGATCTCGCTCTCGTTCGGGTTCAGGGTGATCGATGCTTTTGTCTCCTCCCCGTATCGCCAGTAACCGAAGAAACCGACCGTGCTGTATAACAGTACCACGAAGAACATACCGGTGTTCAGGACACCTGGGCAGCCGATGAAGTGGGTTGGGGTCTTCATGTTGTTCTCAAGGGGCATCACCTGGAAATTAGGTTAAAGTTTGAGTATCAGGTCTGTGAGAAACATAGCGGTGTATATGTATGTACACCCGCGAGTAAACTCGGCTTCCGCCAGGGGAAAAAGTTATGTAAGGAAAAAATCTCTTACCACTTGGTCTCGGGGTTAATGAAATTTATGCCAAATTAACATTCGGTTTAACATTTGTTTCAGTATTTGAAATAAATTTACCAAGAGGTAGAAGGTCTATCTCCTACGTCACTTTTTGCCCTAGTGGAGGCCGAGTTTGCTCGCCGGATGTACACTCGTGTTTTTAAGTACAGTGGACTCTGACTGTATTGCCATGATGGGGGCTGTAGGGGAGTAAAATGGCAATCAGTACAGAGCCCCCTTTATGCTAAGTTCTATTGTCATGGCATCAGCCTCAACGCCTGCGCAAAAATCTAATGAATCCTTATGCTGCATGTAACCATAACTCAACTATTAGATATTCTAATAAATAGTTCATTTTTCAATGAAACGCCGCTGAAGAGTTTCAATTTTTCTAATTACGAGGAGATATACTCTATGTATAAATTTAATAATTGTGTCCGTCGTAAAGAAACGTGATTACACCCGTTCCGTTGTGATCATGAGTTACACGTGGACGCTGCATTTTTAATAAAATCACTTACGGAATCTTTAATTTTTTAGCAGAAATAGGGACATTTTATACTTCACATTGAATGAACTATTATTAAGTTAAAATCTTTTTAAAAATGCTTCTATTTAAATTTAATTATAAAGAGAGGTTTAAATTTTATATCTAATAACTTCTTTTGTCGATTGTTGCATAAATAAATAATAAAAATCAATTTCTGCGATAGCAGAACTCTTACATGATTAGGAATAGAGACATTGACCTTAGCACGATTCTATCGTTGTTATTAAACAAAATCGGCGCAAATCGGAGAGATTGAACGAAACGCACGTAACGAGATTTATACTGCTCAAAGCTTCAATTTGGTGTTTCGTGGCAGCTACCGGTAATCGCATTAGTGCGCGACGTATGTAACAAAAGGATTGGCCGTGATTACGCTGTTTTGTCTCTTGTTACGTGCACTTATGTAATCGTTCGCGTCTACAGCAGCCAATTTTTCTGCATTGTTATCACGGCTAGAACGACGACGAATATGTAGAACACTTTGGTCGTCACTGTGTCAAAGTGATTTATCCTTGTATTTACTTTTCATTGTGCTATTGCGTGTCTTCTGTACTGATCATCCACTATATGAGGACAGATACTCGAAAGTTTTTGAGTTATTTTCCTTTGAAGTTACTTTATAATATGTTATTTCGCATAAAAATCCGCTGTCTACTTATAAATTATCCATAGTCCTACGAAACAACAGTGCACCTGATAGACACCTATCGATTAAAAACGTTGGACCACAATGGGCTAAAACTTGATTTTAAATCCTTCGAAAACCAAATAGCTCTGGACTATCATCCAACAAACTCCTTAGGAATAAGTCAATGCTGATATAGATATACTTACAACACCGATGCCTTCCAGGGCGAAGATGGCCGTGCCGAAGAACAGAGGTAACTGAGACCAGCTCGAGAAATTCGGCAGTTCGCTGATACTGGGCAGATCGCTGAAAATGTAGTAGAACGTGATCCCCATTCCAGTGGCGATCAGAATGTTTGCGATCATGGAGAATGGCGCCAGGTATTTCAGGTTCCTCACAAGTGAGAAGGCGATCAACAGAGGCAGCAGAGCTGCCATGTATAACCTGACGTCACGATCGCTATCCGTGTAATAGTCGGCCACTTCCTTGACATTCGTCGAGATGAAGACTATGTACACGCAGCAGCAACCTATCAAGTCGATCACGAGAAACGAATTGATCGTCGCTCTGGAAAAATATTTGAAAATCGTTTCTTCGTTAGTCCCATTCAGTCGATCGTTCTGTCGAAAATATAAAATGTTTCGATGGTTCGGTCACAGACGAGAAATAGGAGTAGACATTTCATCTTATGGGAGTTGGTGGTCCAAAAAGCCTATGATTTTAGCGACCTCTACGTTTGGAGAACGGTGAATCTGCGGTGGGTAGTGACACTAAAATGAAAATAGGGTACGTAACCCCAGAAAAGTGGGCCGTAAAAATACATTGGATGAAATGTCTACTCCTGTACCTCGTCTGTGGTTCGGTGGAATAATTTCTGAGCAAGGATCATCTATGACAAAATTAAAATACTTACTTCGCCAGACGAGCATACTTCTGTACCGGTTCAGGACCGACAAGAAAGGCCGCCTCGGCGACATCCGCGAATCCCAAGCTAGGCGTCTGGGTCCGCCTGCATAGATCGTGGGCGCACTTCACCAGTATATGCACGCAATAGGTGCAAACAGCGCCGATGAAGAACGTGGCGAACAGGCCGAAGAGTAGACCAGCGTTACGAAAGGCCATCGGCATCGCCAGTATGCCGGTACCCAGGCTGCCCTTCAGCAGATGGATCAGCGTGTCCATATCGGAGGTCGGGTGGGCCAGTTTCCTGTGCTCGAACGGATTATACAGGGCCGCCTCTTCGTCGTTCGGTCGTTCCACGAGCGGCAACGTCGAGCCGTTCGTGACGGTAATCGGTACGTCATTTTTCTCGCACTTGTATCTGGAAAACCGACGTGATCAGCGGTACGTCCCCGTTGTTGGGCCGATCAGTTAGAACGGGGGTGTAATATATTATGCTATATATCTGAGGAGGCGCGCGATGGTGGAACGTAGTGGATTCGCTGGGGGGGGGGGGGGGGGGAGATCTCTCTGACACCGGTGTGACGTGCTAAAGGGGTGGTGGGGGCAGGGTGAAGGATAATATGAACGTCGTGTGTCTCGTGCGGCCCGACACACGCCGGTTTTATATGTACTTGCGTGTGTGTTCTTCGTGAAATTGAAGAAAGTGGACGAGAGAGGTTACTAGCGACGACGAGCTGGAGGACACCTAACGTTTGATGGAGTTTCGTGTCACGAGATTGGGGGACATCGAAGTTATTGCATCCAATTGTCGACTGAAGATCAAAGTTACGTTTATCGAAGAAATCTTTCGACTGCTGAACGATCATTTTTACCAGTGATCTATTTATACTGGCGATTCTGTTTTCTCTAATTCGTGTAGGATGTTAACTAGGGTCTAGGGTTTAGGGGCTTGCAGTACTCATCGGAGGCACGTGGAAGATAGTTAAGCGACAATAGACTTTTAAGGGGAAATATAAAACTGTATTTTCATGTTCGTAGACTTACGCTGATTAAGTACCTTCTGCTACTCTTGATGAGCAGGCACGGTAACCCTTTAACGCCCAGACCCTTAAATCGTTATTTTACAATTATGAGATTGATACATATATATGTTGTATCTTGTTATTTTGAAGTGGAAAATATGGATATTAAACAGACCTATTTTTTTTTTGCATTTTGTCTTTGTTATTGAAGGGAGTATTTGAATTTTTCAACTGAAAACGTGGAGATCTACTTTACTATTAGTTAAGCAACGGATGCTTGCTAACAAATGTTAGATATTAACCGGCGACAGAATTTGACATACTTTTAAAATGAGCACTGTGGTAATACTGAGCGTTAAAGGGTTAAGCGCTAAGGTCTATGGTGCCCTAGACCCTTTTCTCGTAACACGTTGTATAACTTAAATACCATTGTACACCTGTTTATAGTGATCGGAATTGAATTGCATTGATTTTGTTGGACACAGCAGAAACAATGTTTAATATGTATTTCCTTCATATAATAGCGCTACTGCGTTCGCTGAACACAATTATGGAAAACTACGAATATAAATGGCGAACGTTCGTTGATCGAGAATTTCTAACAGACACTTTATCCATAAAGATGAGGGATGAGCAAGCGTGGGATCGAAAGCCTTACGACGATTTAATTATAGATGATCGATAAAGCAAGATCACAATGAAGGAATACCGTATACTGTTAATAATTCTCTGAGAATCATCAGTAGTTGAGTTCAATGTATTACATTATCCCATAAATTACCATTGCAATTCCTTAACGTACTCTTCAATATTCTTGGAGTTTATGAAACTTTGTTTTTGTAAACTGTAATCGAACTACAAAAGTCTGTTAAAGCAGTAATATTCGAATAAATACAAAAACTTCTACAATTATTAAACAGACGTCAGTTGTTTTCTCGTCAGTACTAAATCATAGACGGTCCACAAAAATTATGTGAATCTGTTAGGAAGATTTCAGTATATTTTCTTAATTAAAAAATTGAAAAGGGTAGCAACAGTATCCAAGAATATTTCAATGAAATCACTGACGCAGTTTTATAGTAACGTTGAAGAAATATGTAACTGGTGTAAAATGGTAGAAAGTACACTCCAAATGGTGATAAAAATAATCAGAACGGATTTATGGGACCCCCTAGTAATTTTTAGTGTGACCGATCCCAAGTCGAGATGCTTTAACAAAATCACGAATTGTTCACGAAATTGGTGTTTTATTAGACGTGACACGAAAATCTTATGTTAGATCTATCCCACGTCTCGATCGTTGTGCTAGCCAGCTTTTCCTTCTCGCAATGCATGCACGCCACGCGAGGAGGACGGACAGCGGGAAACAGAGAGGATCGAAGTATCCTAATTGACGATCTTGGACGATGGGTGACGATTTAAAGCTTGCGAGGCAGTGCAGTCGAACCTTTGATCAATTTCTCTCCTTTTCCCTATGTTTTGCTATTTTCTTCAATATGATACAGAGTGATAAAAGAGGAAGGTCTGGGACTCTAGGGGCTTACAGTGCTCACCGAGACAAGTAAAAAATTTGTGATCAACATAGGTCCGAAAATTAATCGTTGCGGTGTAAAATTAACTTTTGTGTTTCGACGTTGTAAGTCTGTCTCTTCGCGACATATTAAATGTAAACAGAACAAATGGTTTCGAAGTAAAATTATTGGTTTCGAAGGAATATTTGAAAGTGTACGTCGATCTATGATCCGTAGATGTGAGTTTTGTATCGAAATGAAAGGAAAACATACGGAACATTGTAACAAATATGGAGATAAACTTTTGCATTTTTGTTTGAAAGGACTGATTTTAGGTTCTATGTTGATTAAACATTTTTTACTTCACTCTGTGAGTGCTATAAGCTGTCAAACTCTTAGACCCTTTTCTTTAATCCCCCTATATGATTATAATTGTGTGACTACTCACAGAAGTATCCGTCTATTCCCTATGTACTGCATTATTTCACATAGGTATTGAATTAATGTTAAAGGCAAAATTAACCAGTATAATTTATATTAGTATAAACGTTGATTAATATACTTTATATTAGAATACTTTCGATGAAAAAATTATATACAGTTTAAAAGGTATTGTGTCTAGAAATGGCAGAAAATGTGCATGCAGAATTTCACAAAAAAAAAAAAAAAAAAAAAAAACGAGCAAACTGGAGCAGTTTTTTCAATGATACGGTTACTTGTAAACTAAGATTTGTCAGAGTAGTTATTCTTTTGACTTCGTCCAATACCATAGGCCTTCACAGAAGTGGTTTTATTTGGTATCTTGCTATAAACATTAATTTTGAATTGGGAACTAAAAATTGTAAAAAAAAAAAAAAAAAAGATTAATTTTGAATTGGGAACAAATCTCGAATTTAATAAACCTGAATATTATTCATTCCCTTTAAGTCTTGTTCAACTGTAAGTTGGGTTAACTTTGACTCAGTCAGGGTAACTTTGCCCCAAATCAGAGAATGATAATTTTCGATTTTGCAGCTTTGGAAATTATTGAATTATGTTGATTGTTGCGTGAAAAGGTATTCCACGTAACAATACCTGCAAAATCGAAAATGATCATTTTCTGACTTTGGGACAAAGTTACCTCAACTTACGATATCATCAGGAATTTTTTAATGGCTCATCAAATTTCGTTCACGTTCGATATACGTCCCAATACTTATGAACGTGAGTGTATGCACGCTGGCGTGGGCGGATGTTTCTCCACCATCTGCAGATTCTCGTCTCAGTGAGGAAGGAGTGGAAAAAGAGAAAATGCGTGGTGTTCGACTACACTGCTGGCCGCATGGCTTATGAATCGAACGTGTCGCGTTGAACGGGCAGAGAACACGCGTTACAAGGACGCCGAACAACGGGTTTCGATCAGGCCACAGTGGTGTGAAAACGCGTTTTTACTGGTCAAAAATAAATTTTTGAAGTTCAACATTTTGGAAAATTTTTTACTATAAAGAAACAATACTTCAAACCTTCAAAATCCAAAAAATATCTCGCCGTTTGGTATATTATATTGCTTCTATATTAATTGCACTAAATAACCATAATACAGTGTTGCTTCAATTTTTACCATGAAAAGCGAGTTTCCAGACCATACGTGCATAGTATTAAATCCGCCATCTTGAATTTTTAATGTCAGATTCGTTATCAGTGACCTCAAAAACCCTTGATTACCAACGTTTAGGAAGTTACAATGATATTTTGACTTTTGGCCAGTAAAAACGCGTTTTCAGACCCACTGTTCCGCTCGATGACGCTCGACTATATGAGGCGAAGGATCTCTCATCATGGACGGAATCGATTTAGCAACGTGCGATCTTTCGAGCGATCCCTATATTCGCGCGCCGTCAACGCGTTCAAGCGATCTGGCTTGTCTCGAGTGATTTATGGTCAAGCAATATCGTTGTCGAAACCGAAACGAGTTTACTTTTCTCATTCAGGCAATTGTCTAACTTTATCCTTTACTGGATTGACCTTGAGGAACGGTTAAGCAAACGTAGAATTATGTCTGACGTGCTAATCTGTTTCTGGAATCGTAGATTTGACATTCAAGAAATAACTATAAAAAAATATTTTTTTTGTTTGAAAGGAATAATTCTGTATTCTCATAAACATCTGCAATCTAAACATTAGTTTATAACTTTGACTTTAATAATTATGACTTTATAGAATCAATAATTATATAAATTACGCGTGTCGAATACTAATACATTAGTTTCTTTGAATCTCTGTAGAATGATATTTTTTTCTGTAACCTACACTACAATCTAATCCTAGATTTACCGTCGGTAGCGTACAGGATTTACACGTTTCGCGATCAAGAAACAGATCAGCTAAAGAGACAATTATTTTCTGGTTTCTCCGAAATATTGCTTGACTCGTTTCGTGCGATACCAAGTAACCAATCGTTACGCATTAAGTATGTGTATCCAAGCCCAAGGATTTACTCGGATCGATCGGTAAAAGACTTCGTCACTGGATCTTTGAATTAAATTTTCCACGCGTTTCCATACGCAAACGTTCCTTCGATTTCCTCCCTGTCGCCCAAACTTCCGTCCTAACACGCACTTATCGAGGGTACATCGAGGAAATCGATCGAGAATCGCGCAAACGATCTGTCGCTCTCTTTCGTTGCTGCTTCGCACACGTTTCTGATCTCGATGATCTCAAGTCTCGTCCCGTCGTGTTACGTTTCTGTCGGTTTAAATTCTATTTCTCGTTCGTGGAAAAAGTGCATGGCGCAACGTGTTTCGCGAGACGACAATTCGCATTTGGCAGAAGGCTCGTTCGGACTAGGCGCGCGGAATTAGAACTTCCGGGAGCATTTCTGGCAAAATTCTCCACGGATTGTACGG